CAGCTCAATCAACCACAATGTAATCATTGTGATTTTAGTATAATCCTGTGACTTTAAACTATCTAATTTCTGCAAAAAAAATAATTTTTTAATTCTAATATAAATTTATAAATTTTAACTAATAATCATACTTTCATAAGGAATAGTTTTATGGGTTTTTTTTCATTTAAATGTAAAAATTTTAGTACAATTTCTTCAAATGATATATTTAAATTGGCATATATCAGTGCGCTGTTTTCATACCTACAAAAACAAGTGGCATAATAATTAATGACTTAAACTATGTTTGTAATTTATGTTTTAAAGATATATGTTTGCAGTAGTTATTTAGGTAATCAATTGATTAATTACTGTTTTGAATTGAATAAGTGCTCTGCTTGTCTAACTAACACTTGATTCATCCTGTAAGGATTGCTAATGCATATTTCTTTTGCTTCTTCAAACATTCCTTTATCCAGATAGACCTAATCAAAAATACTGAAGTTAATATTTTAAAATCCCAGAAAATATAATTGTTTTATAATCTTAATCATACTTTCCAAACATGGCGATCTTCTTTAATCATTTTATATCTAAAAACTGCACGTTCCGCATACAACCAAATGGTTCCAGTCATCAGATCTTTAGTTATATTTAACAGTCTACCATGGCTCTAAAGGGCATATTTAACTGTATCATCAAATAAAAACAAAAATAACTAATCATTTACATCAGAACAATAATCTTCATCCATCACTTGAGAAGCATTGCGATCTGCAGGGGCTACTAAAGAAACAGCAATAACCCTTTCTGGAAACAACAACAATACATGATAACGCGTAAATGTCATCGATAATGGTACAGTGAAATCATCATCATCTCTTCCGTACAGTCGACTATACTCAATGAGTTCATGCGAGCTAAATATTGTTTTCTCATCTTTGTTTATGTCTACCTGTAATAAATGATTTGAAGTGAAATTAAACCTCAGAGTATTGATTAAACAAAAATAGTGGTTTACCTCAGCAACAAATACTCCTAACTCTGTTAGAAATCCAAAATATTTTGGAACTGTAAAATCATTGTTTAAGTAGTAAAAATGTAATTTGCTATGTTTCACTATGGTTGGAACTTCATAAAAACGTTCTGTAAAGAAAAAAACAATTATTAAAATATACACATAATTGTATAATTTCCAAATTGAACTAAGTACACTAAATTTAAATACCACTTGAATAATAAACTGTACAGGGTTACTATGTTTTGCTATTTTCTTATAGTCATATTAACTAGTAAAGAAAAACTGATGATACAATAGATACCCACCCAGTAGGTATTTTTCAAAAATAAATTGTACTTCATTGATTCATTTTTCTTTAATTATATAGGTATTATATTATACTAGCCTGGAATAGTCAAATAATTGTTGAAGATTTGTTGTAACATCGGTCTTTCATCTTTATTAAAAATAAAATCGACAAATTGATACAATTTTGTAGGTGTAATTGCTAATATATAAAATAGATCCGATTTTCCAACTCTGTGATATTGGAGGCCAATTATAGGAATAGGTTGTCCTTTACTTATATCAAACACCTATAATTAGCGATTCATTAAAACTTTGATTGTGTTGTTAAAATAACGGCAGTACTACAAACCTCTTTCCAATATTGAACTACACTGCCTTGGAAAAACCTATCAAACTCTGTTCCTAGTTGTGTTTCGATTATAGCACCAGATGAATTTCCGAGCAATATGGGCCCAGTCGTGCTGGACGTAGATTTCACTCTATGATCGCAGTTCCAAGCCACAGATGTTATCTCTGAACCCTGATATTTGCCTACCTGTACAAAAATTATTTTATAGTTCATTATCCAGAACAAATAAGGAAAAACATGATACTTTTAAATTTTTTTCCTTACAGGTTTTAGTTTGGACAGTTGTTTAGTTGCATAAAAAAGCTGAGAACTAGTAATATTACCACATGAAATTAGTAAATGTTCTCCGCAAGGATCTAAGAATAATTGCTTCACTTTTAGAGACGAAGTTTTCAATGTATCAATTACTAAAAGCAAATAAGAAAAGTTATTTTTGCAATTATTACAAAACAAAACATTTTAACCGTGTGAGTCATGAGTGTACTCAAGACCAGGAGTTTTTTTGCTTAGTCATATTTACATCAATCTCACCCTCGATATTGTCCTGTTTTAAGTTTATTCGCAACAACACATTATTGACCATGACTAATACCACATATTCATTGTTTACCAGCAATTGAGTGATCTTATCGCTCGGAGAAAAGTTGACTTTCTTCTTGGACAATATGGGTACTCCTCCAAGATCTGAGTCTCTATCAAAACTTTCATCGAGCTACAATATTGGATAATGATTAAAGTTGTATTCAAACAGCTTAATGTTGGATTGCTTGAAAATTAATTAAGAGGATGTCAGCGCACCAATGGTTTTCTCTCTCCCACACACAAATATTTATGTTTAGTAGAGCCAACTCTGCATTGTTACTTTTAATATTAGAGTAAATTCAAATATTATCAAACTTAAAGCCAAGAACATTTTGGGCGCACACTAGTTGCCTCCCGAAGTCAAAAAGGCCCATAATTTATATACGAATTGCCTCCCGACTATATACGAGTTGCCTCCCGACGTACCCTAAATTTTATCATAAACGAAAAGGGTCTAGTACTAGTTGCCTCCCATTAGTCAGGTAATAAATATATAAGGGGAATCCTTCCATAGCAAATTTAATAGTTATTTTAAGTCTCCGCATCCTAATATAATCAAATTTATTGACATTTTAAAACTAATTCAGACTGAGACTGTAATTTTAATACAAAGTTCTCATAAGCCTAAACTACATGGACGATTACAAATTTGAAACATAATAATTTTCATTGATACCCAAATAAAAAAGCTAAATGAAAAAAAAATATCAAATTTTGAGTACTTACAAATATTGGCTAAAAAATACAAGCCTAAACAATGTTATAAATAATTTTTTAACATTATATTATATTATATTAGTATTACCATACATTTATTTTATTGACTAATAATAGGTACTACTTACTATTTTGTTTAACTTATTGATTTATTATTTGACTGATGTTTTTTAACTGCACTATATATTTTTAATAAGTAGTACCTATGATATGTTTTATTTTTATTGATTATTTTTATATTATTATTATTTTTAACCAAGTCTGATATTTTTAATAACGAATAAACATTACCAAAAACTATTATAACATTATTCTATATATATTATACTTAAGACTGATGTTTTTTAACTGCACTATATATTTTTAATAAGTAGTAAAATATGTTTTATTTGTATTGATTATTTTTATATTATTATTGTTTTAACCAAGTCTGATATTTTTAATAATGAATAAAGTATAAACATTATCTATTTATGTGGAACTGTTTGGTGAAGTTTATGAACCACTACTTAATTCTATATGGGAGGCAATTAGTGTGAAACTTTTTGGGAGGCAACTCGTATATAATTATGAACAATCTGGTCATCGGAGGCAACTAGTGTAAAGTAACCTTTTTATTTACGATAAGATAAGGATGGGAGGCAATTCGTATATTTTGGGAGGCAACTAGTATGCGCCGAACATTTTATGTCCCTATTTTGCCTCTTTTATTATATTTTAATTTTTATGTAAGTTATAAGCATGTAAATTATTACAGTTTAAAAATGGTCATAAATTGTATAAAAATTTAAATATTGTAAAATACCCAACGTAAGGACACAGAAAATAACCTCAGCTTAAAGTTTGATAATGGTTGAGTTTACTTTAAGATTAAAAGTAATCACACAGAGTTGATTCTGCTAAACGTAAATAATGTGTTATTTTTCACAGAGAGAACAAACACTACGTTGACATCCTCTTAATATAATGGTTCAATACAATTTAATGGACCAAATCTGTTTAAGGGACCAATAGCTCACTAGTCACTATTAATTAAATAAATGTCTAGTGTTCATGCAACTCGGCTTAAGAACAGAAAGTTTAACATGCAAAAATTATTTTACCAATTGCTTGGATGTTGGAACAATTTTAAATGGGTTTTCAACTCCCTGCTCAAACTGATCCAGTATTGAAATCATTGTGCAAGTAAATAAAAATCAGATCATCGGGTGCCAAACGTTGACGTGATGTCCACCTGTATAATATTATATGCGTTGTATACTTTTCAAAGAAAAATCGCTGCTTTTTTATAATTTAAGATTGTTATAAGACAATAAACGAATTACCGGTTATAAGAAATAAAAAATAATAATTTTGCCAATTTGCGATTAACATAATAACTTATAACTTTTAAGGTAGTAACTACTAACTAGTAAGCTACCTACTGAGCTTTTATCTTGTTAACGACTAACGAGTAATTCAGTAATCATTAATTACTAATCATTAATGGGACTCTGAGAGTAGGCGATATGATAACACCATCGTTATCAATTTATAGTAGATTACTTTGTAGCACGGCTTTAGATATATTTTAAATGGTGGGTTCAACCCACCTACGGACGCGACTTTTATAATTGCAACGACTCAGTCCCCGTGGACCGAAATCCACTTTCAGCCCTCTCGGGGGTCTCCCTCTTCGACGCTCGGAGAGCTAGTACCATTATAAAACAATATTGCAAAATGGAAATATTAGTATATTACTCTATCAAGTCTATCACAGATTCTAACTTCTGGGATATTTAAATGGCGGAAAACGCGTTTGATCGCCAAGTGTGAATCCGCTCTGTATTGACGTTATTTTTGTATATTTTATTAGAAATACAAAATACAAAATACCATACCACTAAGTATTTAATCTTTTTCTATGAACCATATTCAATATTTCCTTAGATCATAATATACGATACGATCATAAATGATCTAAGAATATTTCAATATTGTTATCACGGAATGAGCTTTATCATTTATTATTATTCTGTGATTGGACGACCGTTATTATCAATGTACAAATTGTAAACAAACAAAGCATGAACGTTTGGATGAAAATACGGAATAAATAAAATGTGGTTATATACTAATAACAATATTAAAAATTGTATATAGTTATATACTCCAATACTCCATAGTCCATACTTCATACTTCATAGCCATTAGAATTCTACAGCGATTTCCAACATAAATAAATAAAAATAATTATAATACACAACTTTACAAGTTTAGAGTTGTTATTTCTTGAGAGTTTATCAAAATTCATGCTAATTTAGATAATTTACTATATCAGAGTACCAAAGTTGGTTTGCAAAAATAAATATGTCTGCTTTTAACAGTAAGTATTAGTTTTGTATCCTTGATACATTTTATTATTTGCATTAAATACTTATTTGATTTTAGATTCCAGTACTAGTACTGACCAAAATGATCCAAATAAAGACAAATCAAAAACTCCAAGATCTAAAGACATGCATTTACCCATATCAAGAGTACGTACCATCATGAAAAGCACACCAGATATTGAAAACATAGGATTACCGTCATTGCACGTTGTCACTAAAGCAACGGTAAGAATAGTATCATATTTTTTTTTATAAATATTTCAATAATATATATAATATATTACTAGTTATTTTTGTGAACAATTACATCTATATAGGTAGCGTTTTTTTTTTAAATTTATATTATTGTAATTTAAAGAGTGGTATCTGCAATCTGCTTAACATGTAATAACAACCGTTTTCATTGTTTATATTTTTGTTCATTACACTACCTATTAGGTTCACTGTAATTAAGAAATATTTCGGCCAGTGGCGTATATAATGATTAGGTTCCTGGGCAAGGGGCTCATAGTGAAGTTTCAGATTCAATTGAAATATTGCATGCATATTGCTTTATGTATACACTATATTACATGTCCAAAGTCCAAGCCTCGTGGCCCATACCTAAATTTATGTCATGTCTAAGGTATTTCTCTTCTTGAAAATGTATATAAATTACTAAATTTAGAATTGAAATTATATACTTCAATACTTTTGACTTGCTGATGAGTGATAGTTATCATCGCTTAAGAGTTATGTCCACGTGTGTTGGTGGTGCGTTCTATGTCTTAAAATGTAATTCCATTTACTGTTGTAGGTTATGTCTAGGTGCTTACAGGAGTTTTCAACACTATAGTTTGATTAAAAACATATTTTAAGAATCTTCAAGAAAAATAAATTGTCAAGACTTGCTTTGATGACGATTCATTGCAACATTAAATTAACTATATTAAAATCTCTATTTATATAGTTTATATCATAATTTTAACCACCAGCCTCCTTAACAATTTTTAGTTATAGCTAAATGTTACTGCTATGCTTGATTAGTGGTAAATTGGCGCATACTAAAAATATTTTTAATGTATGCCACCGATTTTGGCATTACCTATCTTAAAGTATGATTAAGATAGTAAAGGGATTTCAAAATAATGTTACTATTAGGTAAAAAAATTAAATCTAAATACTGCTAGGTATTTTTATTACATCTCATTTTTTTTATAGAAACTAATTTATTTATGTTAACACAATTATTTATACCATTTTAGGAGCTTTTTATTCAAAAACTGGCACAAGATGCTCTCAAAGGACAAAGACACTTCAGACATTTAGATTATAATGATCTTGCCAGAGCTGTCGAAGATAATGAAAATATGTATTTTCTTAGAGGTAAATTTTTTGTGTATGATTTATAACCAAGTAATTTAGTAATATAATATGTTTATTATAGTTGAGTAGTTATTACCATAGAATATTATAGAAGCGACAGTCAAACAGCTGATCGATTTATTTTCATTTTGCCGGTGGTTCGGCATGAAGTGACACTGATAAATTGATAAAAATATCTTTACCGCGCGTTTGTAATCAAATTGAATATCCTACCCATTGAAGAGGCAATTAAAACAATTTTGCACAATGTAAATTTTCATTTAAATAAACTTGTTTGTAAAAAAAAAATATATATATTTTTAATCAAAAAAAGATGAAAAACCTATTTTTTCTAATATAAAGTAGTAACCATAAGCTTATAATACAATGTCATGCACATTAATTATAGAGGCATTTATATCTGGGGGAGGGGTCAAATTTTATCAGCCCCATACTCTGTGCACGCCTATGCTTACCAATGTGCAGCTCATTTTGATTCACAAAAGTCAAATATTCTTTTTGTTCAGTAGAACTAATATTGTGGTTGACTTTAGTGTTTAAGTGAATTGACCTAATATCAAACTTAAAGTTAAGATTTCCTGTTTGTATGCATGTTATGAATAGGTATATATTACAATTAAAAAATGCTCATATATCATGAAAAATCAACATTCAAACACTGCCCCAAAGTTCTTAACTTTAAGTTTAATAATAGGTCAATTCACTCTTATATTAATAGTTGATTACACACATTTGGTATGTTGTGTATAGGCAGAGAGAAAAAACAAAATACAGAAAGGTTAGGTTAGAACAATACACAGAAATCCAATGAATTATATTTTTGATTTATTCTACGTTCATTATGCATATAAGATGAATTTATGAACAATATGCAATACAATTTGGTTTTTGAATTCATGGGCACATTACATAATATATTTTATAGTAGCGCAGAGTCCGGATGTTCCCAGGTCTGGACACCCTCCCCCCTTGAATCGTGTTGTATCTTTCTAAAATAATAAAAATTAAAAATTACAATATTTACGTTAATTAAACAATAAAATAATAATTAAATATGCTTGCTATTTTAAAATAATTATAATTTTGACCCCCCCCCCCTCCCTAAAAATACTGGTTGCGCTACTGCTATAAACAAGCACATATAAATACATACAGTTCTGGGCTCTTATATAAAGAAAACAACCAAAAGAAAATGAAGATATTAATTCTAAAATGACTATTATTTTTAACTGATGTCTCCAGCAGTTAATATCTTATTTTTTACAAATAATATTTGTTATTTTTTTTCTTTTTTGGCCATTCAAGCTATTTTATGAGTTGTACTTAAGCTATATAACTCTCCCGATTCTTTGCATTTTCAGTTCTTGCTTCCAACTCTTAATGTCAATTATTTGTCTCCTACTCGGTCCATCAGGTTAAGGGGGTCTTCACACTGCCCACCAGTAATTTTACAATAGTAAATATGACAATACATACCTGGTGATTCTGTTATTGTTGAATACTCATTATTTCAAAAATCATAAATGTGATTGATAAAAAAACATAATTTTTAAATTTTTTTTACTTTTTTGAATAACATAGTTTCAATTTTATATTTTAAAGTAGAATAATTGAGAAGTATTTCGATACATAAAAATTGAATTTAGTACGAGTTATACTTAAGTTTTATATAAATATAAGTATTTAATGTTCAGATGAGCAAGCATAGTAAAGTGGTAATTGGTTATGAAAGAGGTTGAAGAAAGTTGGTCCGTTACTCCAGAAACCTAAACTTTAAATACTTACAAATTATAATGTTACAACTAATCTTAAATTCAATTTTTGGGTATCGAAATACTAAAAAAATATTCTGCTTTCAGAGATGAAATTAAAACTGTATGTATCTTAATAATAAGAGTTTTGACTTGAAATCGTGTAAAAAAATATTTTTAAAAACATTAATTGGTACTTTTTGAATAATGAGTGCCCTACATGAAATGAATTATCTGGCATATATTTATTGAGTATCTATTTTGTTTTTCAGAGGTTTTACCTAAAAAAATTACTATGGCTGAATACTATAAATTGGTTGGGAAAGAGTCTTCAGAGGATGGCGAGGATGGCGAGGACAATGATAACAGTTCTCAAACGTCACATTCTTCATCATCATCAGTATCATCAGACAATTAATCTTTTAATATATTGTATTCCTTAACAGTTAACAATCATTATGTGTAGTTACATTGTTTTTTTTTTTTTTTTAATTTTTCTACTTATAAATTATTGTAATATTAAATATTAACTTTCAAGTTATTGATCGTGAATGTTTTTTTCTCTAAATCGTTTGACAAACGTCAGTTTTGAGTTGTTTTCCATATACTTTGATATGAAATCATTATTATTCTTAATTTTTTTTCCATTACAACTTAACCAGTATGTTTTCCATATTCGTCTCCAACTAATGGTTGATCTTTCACCAGCTCTTTTTAAATGTAACGTCATTTTTCTCTCTATGCTCTTTTTCAAGTCAACAACTTTTGCTCCATTCGTCTGTACCTTAAAAAAAAAAACAGAAACAAATGACAATATATTATTACATTAAGACACTCTTATGACCTATTCGCAATTGAATGCAGGAAAATTAGGGGCGTTTAAGTATGAAGTGTGTGTTATACTTACAACAATCGGTATGACAATGCCGTCAAAGCGCTCCAGGTACAAGGTTATCGCTCGACCGTGTTCAATCGCGATTTGTAAATCGACTTCTTCCAAGGTCACGTTGTTCGGTAGGTCTCCTAACACGCTGTCCTTTTCCAGGACCGTGTTCAAGACTTCAGCCGTGAAGTCTTTGAGTCGTTCGTGACTGATCGTGGTTACATCGACGTCCGCCAGTTCAGACAGCGTACACGACGACGATGAATCTGCAGGCTCGCCCATCGTCCCGATCGCAAGTGGTTCCTGGTGCTGCTGTAAAAAACCATTTTGCTATTAAGGACGCTGCAGATATAATACGATATGTGTCAACTGTAAGTAGTACACTAGTACGAAAGACAAGGTCGTCAGGTAAATGAAAAAAAAAATGTTTCGACAATCAAATAATCAATCCGCTCGGCATGTGGGCCGGTGAAATGAAAATGGTGTATTATACTATTATACTAATCATAAATATCTATACATCGCAACTGGTGCCAATGTTCTTAGCGGGCGGTAATGCAGTCATGCAGGTGTAGACGACACGTTTTGTCCATTAGAGGACCGTTACGTCATAGCATAGAACAATATCATTTTATAATAAAGTGCACAAGAAGAAGGGGTAGGGTTGCTCAATATTAATATTTTATAGTCATCGACGTCTGTGCATATTTATTACATTATGTGTATATATATATATATAGTATATAGGTACCCTGCAGCAGTCGGCCACTCACCGGCAGTGTCACTTGTCTATGGTGCCAGTGCCAGCCAGTCGATACAAACAACTACGCGGAGTGCCGGAGCAAAGACCATAATTATATTATAGGATTTCGGTCTTTAGTAAAAAATATTTACATCGTTTTTTCGTCATCGCAAGTACAAAAATGAAGAACATTATGTTCGCGTCACGACAAACTCACCGATAGAGTGATCGGACTATTCATGTGCATAATACCATGACTAAATAGATCTATTTAGTCATGCATAATATCATTAATATCTAATATATAATGCGTGTATCTGGAGGATTTAACAGTATTGCTCATTCAATTAATCAATTCATCCTGAAAATACACTATGTACACAATACCCACATATTATCACAATCATAGAAGCGTTCAAAGTTCAAACCATATTATTTATTTATTTATTTATTTATTTAATATTCATCTCTTCAATTATTTAGTACCTATATTATATTATAAGATGTTCGACTGCTGCAGTTGTATGTATAATATTTTGATATACATTAGCTTTTTCATGTGCGTTTTGTTTTGGGGGACAAAGCGCGCATGGAATGGCTGAATATACCTATTATATTGTATACGCGTCGAACGGGCAAACGAAATCTGAGCTTATGTTTTTCATTGTTGTACTACATTCGTGAAAATTGTACCACGAAATTGGTTTACTTAAAAAAATGGTTTTCGTTCACGATTTTTTTGTGATTTTCCAGATCAATTGCAGCACGCCGCTTGCGGGACAAGAGTAGTATCTCATAAATTGAATCAACGAGGATGGCCGCAGACCAAAATAATTGGAGGCTCGACTACGCCATACGGAGCATATCCTTGGCAGGTAAAATAAAATATTCGATTGACTTTATTTACGGTAGATACCTACCCTACTTATTAGTTATTATAATAATTAGCCACCGTGAATAGGTTAGTGAATCGTTTATTACTATTAAATACACGCCCGTATATTCTAAGTTTTAATCGAGTTCTTGTATAATTAGGTAGATTCTATTCAATGTGCGTAAGATAAAAAAATTTAAATATTTATCTTGTCGTGTGTTTCGCAATTATAGAAAGGACTTATTAATGCACCAATAATGGGTTAAAGCCTATATATATTTTTTTTTGTTGCACAAAAGTACATACACAATGTATTCTATTTTGTACATTGTACAATAAGCATAGGTATAAACTATAAGATAAGGGTTACATAACATGGATTTCTTGAGTAAGAAGCCACCCATTAGTGGCACTTAGCTTGGTGTTTTATTTATGGTAATTGAGGAGAGATATTTAATTTAAATTGTCACGACACCAATTACTTTTGAGTCTATTCTCTATATACTTGAAAAAAAAATATCAACTTGTATATTATGCGATGTACAATCATATCCCAGTAAACACAGCACGTTTAATCTACGTTTATAATAAGGATAACTTTGGTGTAGGTATATACGTAGAAATTATTCGTATAATAATGGTATAATATACTTTGAAATAGATTGATTTTACGTTGACGATACGTATAAAACATATACGTACATATTTTTTAGTGATAAAATTGCGTTTATTCTACGTTGATCATTGGTTGGTCGAACTTACGTCGAAATATAGGTAAGGATTTACGTATATTTTACCTCGATGGCACGTTTATACATATTCGTACATTTTTCGTGATACAAATACGTTTATTCTACGTTGATCGTAAGTTCATCATTGGTGAACACAAGGCGAAGTATTAAACGGATTTTATATGAAAAATATACCGCGATTATACGTTGAATATTAGTGAAATAGTTCCTTTTTGACCTACAAATATCCTTATATTATTGGTAAAATAATCGAAATCTCTACGTATATTATACGTACTTAAGTGTCAGTTTATACGTTTAATATACGTAGAATATTCTTAGATTTGTCTACTGGGATATTCTGTAAGTTCTGCAAGGACGTCGGCACGTCGCATGCGCGTGGACATTAGAACTGAATATAGAGTAAGTATTTTGGCGTATATTACTGTTATCTTTTCATTAACTTTAATCCTATAATTATTTATATTTAATGCATAACTACATAGGTTTTTCCGGGCTGTAGGTATAATGTTTTCGAAACAAAAATAATTTTCACCAAAACACCTGACAAAAGCGTGGTTATTTTTTTCAACTGTAAATTTTTCTTTAAATTTTATTTGAAATAAGAAATCTAAACATATAATATATAAAGCACAATATTCTTAAATGCCAAGGTCTAAAGAGTAGATATAGACATAAAAGGGTTGATTAAGGAGTCACCTCCTAATACCTATAGTGATTAATGACACTTATCTTGATTGAAATCCAGCTTACTCTTTGAAAAAAAAATTAAGTTGATTGATAACCAAATAAAAATATATTCTTAGAAAATAGTTGAGGAGTGAGAGGAGACGATAAAACAAGGATGTAATTTTGGGTTTACTATGTCTTATTTTCAGAAGATAGCTTATTATTGCTTACCTAGTTGCCTATATGTTTGAATAGTAGGATACCTTTCCTAAGATTTTAAATAATATATTTGCTTACAATATATACTATTATACTATGTAGACACACAGGTTGTGCAATGAGTAAAAATTATAAAAATTAGTTAAGAGACCACATCTTGTGTGTTGGGCGTATCCAGCGATGTGCTCTTTAAAAATAAGGATACCGATCAAATAAATATTCTTATAAATTAAATGGGAACTATAAAATATTAAAATATCAGTACATTTTCTGATTTATTATCACTCAAAATTACAATAGGCAATAATTATTGGCATTGCATCATGTATACATTTATTATTTATAAAGTACCTACCTACTTAACAACAAACGACAATTGTCAATTACCTATACGATTTTTAAAGAGAAAAAATAAATATGCCTTTAATTGAACTACTATTATTCTGCAATTATTGATTGTCATCACTCGTCATTAGACACAGGTATACTTAGCATCTATTTAGTGACTATAAGATTCTTAATTTCATAACCATTGTTATACAGGTGGAATTACAAGCATACAAAGATGGATGGGAACATCACTGCGGAGGAGCACTAATTTCCGAGACTATAGCCTTAACGGCCGCTCATTGCTTAAAAGACTTTAAAAAATCCCAACTGCGTATTATTGTTGGTAAACATAATTTAGCAAAAAATGATAAACATGAAAAAACATATAGAGTGCAAAAGGCATTAGTACACCCTGAATTCAGAAAAGGTAGGTACTATTTTAAAACTGTATGAAAACTTCCGATCGAAATAAATTATTTTTGTAAAAATGAGTATAATTCGTTCTTAATTAGGGCCCAAGTATTTTAGTGGTTTTTTAGTTTATGTGCCTACTTACAATCAACTTAGATGTTATTAATTTCCTACTTTAAATTTTGTATATTTTTAGTATATCGATTCCCTAGTGGACTTAATTTATTGAACATGCTCATGTCCTATAAAGTATAGACTATAGTATATACTAATATAGTTTAATTAAACATTTACACCTATTCACAATCATAACATTTCAGACGGACCACACAGCCACGACATAGCGATATTAAAAATTAATGCATTGAACAGCAAAGGAGTAAAATTTGATTCGCACGTACAGCCAATATGTTTGCCGGATTACTATACGAAACCCAACGACGTAGATTGGTGTACCGTGACTGGTTGGGGAGCACAAAAACGTATGTTTTTAATTACTTAACTTTATTTTTCACCTAACTCGTATCGTGTGGCCATGTATGTTGTATGTACTATGTATAAGTATTAAGTGGTACATCATGATTCGTATGGTAGTCGTACCCAGCCTGCATTTCAGAGTATATTATAAGGGAGTCCAAGTATATTTAGTGGTTTATTATTTGGTATATTTAACTAAAACAAATAAGCTCTATTTTAAAAATGTATACATATAAAATATTATACATTACATTACTATTATAAAATTTGTAATTATAACCGAAAAATGTTTTCATTTTTATTGAACAAAATTAATGATGAATTTTAAATGTAAATTAGTACTCTTTATTAAAGTTAAATTATTAGAACGGGTAGTTGCTAGTATATTATAAAATCAATGCCTATAATAATCTATATAATATATATTAAGATGGTTGATATTTAAAAATGGTTAGAAATACTGATAATGAATGATGTACTAAGTCGAGTATAAGAAACTATGTACGTAAAATAGAACAATACAAGAAATATCGTTAAAAAGTTAAAGAAGCAAGTTGGAAATCGATAAAAAAAATGTATGTTATTAAACATGAGTATACCTATATTTAAATATAAACAACATTTTAGATGAAACATCCAATTGTTCAACAAAATATTAGCGAGTTTGACGACCCAGTAATTATTTAAGATAGAGCGGAATTTAGTTTCAGGGGCGTTTCCAGAATTTTTTCCTTTTTTGGGGGGAGGGGTGAAGAGGGGGTGAAAATTATTTTTTTTAAATTGTATATCAACAAAAATGTTGATATTATTTTTAAAAAATAGGTAGGGGGAGGTACAACCCCTTAACCACCCAGGATACGCCACTGTATTATATATACCCCCCCCCCACGGGATACAATTATGTACAACAAATATTACAGTTTAACTAATATTGATGGCTCATCAGCCTTTCGCTTCTTTGGTGTCTCGTTTGTGTAACGTTTAAAATGTTTGAATATTTTTTTTAGAAGATGACATGACCAGTTTGCCCAAAGTGTTGCAAGCCGCGTCAGTGCCCCTGCTGGATTTGGAAACCTGCCGACACGACGATGTATATGGAGGTCGACACCAGTTCATATTGGACAGTATGTTGTGCGCGGGAAGTTTAGAAGGAGGAGTAGATGCTTGTGGAGGTGATTCCGGAGGACCACTGGCCTGTCAAGTGAATGGTAGGTTCTAAGGATCAAATTAAGTAATTAAGGGGGGGGGGGAAGGTGGTAGTCAATACCCAATTATTAGTTGATTGTAATAATACAGGTTTGGCAAGAAAAAAAAATGAATTTTTAGAGGATAAGTGATCAATTTTCAAATCAAAAAATTAAAGTGACAAAAGTGTTTTTTTTATTCTTTCAGGAAAGTTTATATTGACAGGTGTAGTATCGTGGGGCGATGGATGCGGCAAAAAAAATAGACCTGGTGTGTACACACGTGTGTCATATTATACAGAGTGGTTAAAAAAAGTTATGACAGAACTAGAGAATAATTGAAATACTTGATAAAAAAATTCTTTGTGATTCATTGAAGTAGATTTAAATTTTATTATGTAGAATAAAATTGTATGTAATATAATATTTGTAAATTATTGTTATAATGTACATATTACCTATATATTATAGTTTTTGTAAATTGTGTAAATCATGCAAATGAAATAATGTACAGCTATTGAATATTTGAATATAATATAATACACAGCTATAATAGTTATGTAACATTGTAATATGTAAATATGAAATAATTAAAATTGTGCTTATAATTTTTTGAATGTATAAACAAACTTCCAAAATTAAACTAACTTAACAGTTTTTTTTTAATTTGTCCAAATTACAAATAAACATAGTAATGTAGCTAGTAGCTCTATACTTCTATCGTTATAAATTAACAAAAATAAAATACTTTTGTAAGAAATTAATATTGACTATTGAGGAGTATGTGTTTGTAAAATAGATTTATAGAACTGAATAAAATAAATAAAAATTAAATCTATACGATTAAACGCAGCACCTAAAATGAATACAAGACTAACCAAAGTTGTTTCCATATTAGATCCGATATGTATTTAAATCATTGATATTATAAACAAGATTGGTTTTAACACAGAATAGATTAAAAATTATTTATTTTATAGTGAGAATCGTCATAATTTTGGCTTAAACTGAGTTGAACCTCATAAGTCATAAACCTAGACGTTTTTGAACATATTATAAGAATTAAAATATAACTTTGCCAGATATCCAATTGTTATTTTGTATATATTTTATGTATTCTAGCAGTCTTAATAAAATAAAGAAAAAGTCTGATGACATTTTATACTCATAAAGTTATAAATGCCACATTATATCATACAAGATAAGCTGGTAATTGGTTATATTAAGACAAAAATACTTATAATTGCACCAGAAGATAATATAAAATAATTAATTAAAATATTTTTTCAATTAAAAATAAAACCCAAAATATGAGAATAATATCTTAAGCCCTAACATTGCCTACTGGACACAGATACCTACAGTTGTTTTTATACTGACATGTACTCAATCATTTAAAAATATTTTACAAGTTTATATTTTTAATTTTCATTATAATTACATCTGTGAAAACTATTTAGCTTCAATAAAAATAAATCTGATAAGAGAATGTACAATTAATTAATACATGCATGTACGTCCAAAAATGAACAACTAATTTTATCAAAACTACTATCCAGTTATAACGCACGAGATAAAAAAAAACATTAAATACTACTGCTTAGCTATTTATATTAAATAATATTATAATAAATTGTAATAGTATTTACATATGAATTATGATAACATTTTGAAAATATAATGCAATATTCTTAGTTTGTTTCATTTTCGGAATTATATTAGTTATGACTTATGATACACACATTATTTATTTAAATAAATTCTTCTGTTTAAATTACTTTGTTATTAATTTATGATTTAAACTCATCTTGAAACTACCAATATAATAAAATTGATTATCTGAGTATTATCCAAATTATGTCTACTAAAAGAGTAGCTTAAGGTTAAATTACGGATGAAAAAATAAATTTTTTTTCCTATATACAGTTGAAACCGCTTATTAGGAACACGGATAATTGATAAAATCACGTTATTGAACTAAGTATCTAGGGAAAGACCAGCTGTATTAATGGGCCATTATACCATTGTAAATTAATCAGATTATTGAAAGAACATATTGGTTAACTCTGATTTGGTGATAACCAACGCACTGCAATTACAATGTACATGATGTACATAGTATACAGCATACAGAGCGGGAGAATACATTATTAGTGAAACATAAAATTGGGTTGGAACTCATTGGACGGAACTGATGCCTCAATTTTCATCCTCTGATATTTTTTTAATGTAGTCGAGACTGGGCTTTAATTTAGAGCCTTGCCCGAACACTCATATGTGGTCAAAAGTGACAGAGCTAAAAAGGCAAAGATGAACAAAGACTGACTCATAATTTTGTGTCAGTAGAAAACGACACTGATAGATACATCTTTAACATAAAATAAAAAAAATTTCATAGTAGCTACTTTTTTTTTCATAATAAATAAAACCAATTGCTTGACGCTTATAACAAACAATCAGTTAATTGACACACTTCAAAGTGGTCCAAGTGTTCCTTATGCGGCTTCTACTGTATTATATTATTTCCGTTTCTAAGCTTATGGACATTAATGAAAACTTATTTAAGTTACAATAATTGTAAGAGTATATTATGACATTGAAATATGATAGAAAGATGAGTATAACAATTAATAATACACTTTAAATGTAATATTCAAAATAATATAATTTTAATTTTTGAAGTACAAACAGAATATTTATATAGGTAGAATAATAATTTAAATGGTTTAAACACTATAACACTATGATAATATAATTTGTCTTTAGTACACTAATTATATTACCTTGAGCAAACATTTAAATAAAATATGTTGAACGCCTAGGTATTTTAATATTTATAATGATGTATACTGTAATGTTATTCTACAAGACATTTATTTTTATTTTTTCAATGGATTTTATTTAATATTATGGAACAATTAAAAATCAATACAGTCAAAAAAAAAATTACAAACAAGTAGTTCAAGTAACCTATTTATGCACTAAACACACGATATTACAATTTCAGTACTTGATATTTTTATCACAATAAATAGCATTTTAAAGAAAAATGATTTAAAATAGGTAATAACAAATACACATTAGGTGACTAGGCTTAAATAAGTCTTTTATCATAACGTTATTACAATAACTAATAACAATACAAGATCTGATAGTAAAAAACTCATAAAGGAAATATACATGTCCCATTATTTTTAAATAAATAAATACCGAAATAATTATTTTAAGGAATAGGTCACATATATTGAGTTTACAATTTGAAATGTCATCTAATGATTCTAATATGGGTACGTATTTATGTAATATTTGGCATCTACTAATTAACGCTACTTGGAGAAATAATTTTAAAGTGTTTTGCTTTTGCTAGTTTTGTAGTCTTCTTCAACATGGCTATCATTTGGAATGGAGTTTGAAACAACATCTGCATCAAATTTTTTTCCTGTTAACCAATCAGCCTGCCAAAAACCCAAAACACTCACAACGGAGAAAAATAGCATGATCATCAACCATACTGATATGTTAAAAATTTCAGTCTGCTGAAATAGTTCTTTTCCATTCTTTATACACAACAGTGACTCTGTGACCATTATGACTGCATAGACCCAACACTGTGTCCCAAGTCTTTTACAATTAGGATCTGTCACATATGTGTAATATTGTCGAGTAGATGGTGCAACTACGATACTCAAAAAGAAAAGCCTGCCAACAACTAGTGGATGCGATGGTGGCATTTCAAATATGTGCTTCAAGAAGAATGTATTCAGTTCAGATACTTGCCACATAATTACCATTTGGCACACAGAAAAAAATCGCATATATGATGAATTTGGATCTAGCCACCGAACTGGTGTCCAACTAGCTGGTGTAAACTGTAGGGCAGCTCGCTTGATTTTACCTTTAGTTGTGTCAATATCTTTAATACCAGGCCAGTTATAGTCTCTCATTTCTAACATTTTGCAAATTTTCATTCCGACCCATATACCAAATCCATTGCAAAGCAGGACATCTAATATCCATGCATCCCACCAACATTCCTTAAAATTAGGCAATAAATGAGAAAACATCACTTCAGTGAATTCCCACATCATACTCATTGACCACAATATTCCATAATGCCTCACAAGTATTGCTTTCGATACCCATCCAAAAAAGTGACCAGCAGCAAATACATCCAAATGCGCCCAAAACTTTTCTACAGAGATATCTGAACAGTTAACACCATACTCTTTATCCATATCGATTCTGAAATCTTTGAGATTAGGATCAAGCCATAATATCATTCCTTTAATTGTTTCATATTTTTGAAATAATAAAAATAGCAATGTTAATGAGTATAGAACACTTAGTCCGAATACCATTCGCCAGACTGCTGGGTGAGGTCTTACAAATGGGCCATTAGGGAATGCCAATAAAGATACAAGAATTAAAAAAAATATAACGCACCAGATTCCAGCACAGATATTGCTATCAATCGATTTGTCATCTCGAATAAAGGACATAAAAATTACTCCAACGATTGACAATATCAATAGAGTTATGGTATGAGGTTTGTAGAAAAACTCTAAAGTAATATCTTCCACTTCACATTCGTTGAGTGTGTTGAACACGCTTTCTTTCTTCTGGACTACCATGGCGTGACCGGTAGTTTCTGGCAACAAATGAGAACAAATAATGAACTTGGGGACAGTGTCAGGCGAATATTTAAATAATTTAAAAAAATTCTATTGTATGTAAGGATATACACAAACACACACACATAATATATTGAATTTAATTAAAGATGGTTTTTATTACTATTACTATTATTATTATTATCAAATAATAGACAAGTTTGAAAGCGTAGTAAATTTAAAATTTAATAACCATAGTACTTACCAGGGATTTATATGGACAATTTTGTCACACACTCGCACTGAGTCGCACCTACTGTTTTCGGCAACTCATATCCTTCGGCTTTGAAATTTGAAAAATAACTCATAAATTATTTTGAGCACATCACGTGCTTAAATGATTAATGAACAGTGGAAGGCGGTACGGCGGTGAACTGATGAGTGGTGAGTGGAGTGAATGAGTGATCGCGCGACCGCCGATCGGTCTTCGGCTCCGGCGCACGGCTGGTTACTGATTATTACTGATAATATTGATAAGGTTTGTACACACCGTACGCAGCATAGACCTTCTACTAGACAGTATTAGGTCAATAATTAGTATGCAGATAATATATAATTGTAAAACTAATAGCACGGAGTTATGTATCTATGGGATACTACCAAATACTATAAAATATGATAGTAGTATTATAGTACGAGAAAGTTCAAAAAAGTCAATGATAATCAGCAATGACGTACCGGGCCGGCCTCTGTTGCAGCACCGTGTAACACAGAACGTGGTTGTACTTTTTTTGCCTATACTCAAGGCGTAAGTCACATAATTAATCCCGCCAAAACTTAAAATGGCTGCAAACAAAATATTAATCTAACCCATGAATTGATACTTTTTTTTATTTAGTACATTTGCAGTTTGCAACATTTTTTTATGTACAATAAGTCGATGCAATATCGCTCTCGTTGGAAAAAAAACTTAATTGTACCTGTGTCTTCCTTGATGTGTCCCAAGCGTTCGACAGAGTTTGGCATGACGGGTTACTATTCAAAATCAAAAGTTTTCTCCCCCACTCGTTCTTTCTCCTAATTAAATCTTACTTAACCGATCGAAACTTTCAAGTACATTATCGCTTTGCATACTCAGAAATAACCAAAATCAATGCTGGCGTCCCACAAGGGGACATTCTATCTCCAACTCTATTCAACATCCATGTCGCTGATCAGCCCACCACGCCTCAAACTATGGTGGTCGATTATGCTGATGATAAAGTCATTTTATCAATTAGTGAAAATCCGGTAACCACCTCATCAAACCTACAACTTCACCTCAACCTAATGACTAACTGGTACGACAAATAGCGTGTCAAAATAAACCAAGACAAATCAAGTCACATACTACATTTACTCTCAATAAGGGCGTATGTCCAACTGTTACATACTTACATTAAACAACATCCCAATTCCCATATCGGACACAATAAAATACCTGGGACTCAATCTTGACAGACGACTAAACATGAAAAAATCATATACGAACCAAAAAACTGACTCTCAACGCCCGTATGCGCATCCTTTATCCTCAAATATCGAGAAATAATAATACCAATCTAAAAGTAAAACTTCTAATTAACAAAACCCTCCTGAAACCTATTTTGACTTATGGTATACAGCTCTGGAGTTCAGCAAAAAAATCCAATACCAATAAAATCCAAGTATTCCAAAACCTAGCTCTTCGTCGACTCTCCAATTCACCACCGTACGTCTCAAACCTAACATTACATAATGATTTTCACATGAAAACCATCAACGAAGAATCTCAATCATTTTATTTGCGCTTCCGCATTCGACTCCTATCCCACCAAAATACTCTTATTAAAAACCGTTCCTCTCTAACTCTCCCAGGAAATCCAAGGCGCAGATTAAAAAGGAAATGGTGCCGTCACCTTCTACAATTACCAATTTAAAATCTATATATACATATTACAATAAAGGAAATAATTTAAAGGAGGGGATAAGCCATTCTTGTATATGAAAGTACATCCCCTCCCCTCTTTAAGATTTCCGGAACTTTCCTACAATATTCCGTATATTAGCGGTCCTTAAACTTTTTTGTTCGTGAAAGTAGGCCTTTAAGTTGCTAAGGAAATTTCACGGAACCTCAAACATTTTGAATGCTCATCAAATATACACAACCCATGAAAAACGGTGCGCCTATAATAATACCTATAAAAGATTTGTTTATAAAAGCAAACCCGAAATAAGTCGCACGATTAATTAATGGTGACAGACAGCGTTACAGTCGCTTGGGTTGCTACTATTTAACCTTTGTAATTTAAACCTAAAGTGTATAGGAATTATTAATGATTCTTGTCTCCTGATTTGTTTGAAGACACATGTGTATGGTGTCTACTATCGAGTATCGAATAGTACCTGTTGGGCTCAGTCTTACAGTGAACCATAGACCTTATACTAATAGGTTCTAATAAACCCATTATACCCTATACTATTAAGTCTATACTGTGAACACACATTTTACATTTATGTATATCTATAAAATAACTAGATATACTATATAGTGTTTAATTATTTAATTAACTGATTTTGCGTATAAATCCCCGATTTTCCTTAAATTTGTTTTGTTTTTTCCTTTGGTTTTTAAAACTGCTTTTCTTTACTTTTGACTCAAAAAGTCCAAAGACCGCAATTACATTCACTTCCCTACCAGAAAAAAACAATGCACAAGCACAGAACAAAATAATATTAATTATTAGGTACCTATGTAAGTATATTTGAATCATTGAATGTAATCGGCGTCCCCATAGGGTACTGCTACGATTTTGCTCCATTTATCGGTCGGCGGGGGATGCGCAGAGCTAATCCATTCTCGTTATCATATGTTCTCTCGTGAAATTGCGTAATAGAATTTGTTGATAAGTGGTAACTGTCTAGTGAGTAGTGACTAATGACTATTCAGTTTTGTTTGAGCATTGAGTACTGTCTAGTGTCTACTGTATACTGATTGACCGTTGAGTACTGAATACTAATTTAATATTTTATTTATTTTAGTGGACTATTAATATAATGGATTTTGAAAAGGTAAAGGAAAAAGCTTTTGAAGATGCGCATAAAGGTAATGTTGACCAAGTTATGAAAGCAGTCGAAGAGCATTTGAGGCTGTTAAAAGAAGTGGACGTTGTATGTAATATTATAATGGTTAATTTTAGTTTTTAAGCATAACCAATTTAAAAAAGTAACTCTAACACTTGAGTCATTGATTTATCATTTGAATGTTATTTATGATAAGATTTTACTATGTTTACTAACTAATGATACAACCGAAATCTAACCAATTTTGTATTCATATATGTTTAGAACAATCGTTTGCTTCTTCATTGGGCAGCACTTGGGGGCCATGATAGACTTGTACGATATCTTCTCGAAAATGGTCAACCAGAAGATTCTAGAGATGATGTAAATATATAAATCATGTAACATGTTAAACTAAATTAAAAATCATTATCTTTTCATTCAGATGCAAACTACTCCTCTAATATTAGCAGCATCAGGTGGCCGCATTGATGTAGTAAAAACTCTTATAGAATATGGAGTAAATATTAATGCAAAAAATCAAGAAGGGCATTCTGCACTTCAATATGCAGCTTCAAAGGGTTGGACAGAAGCAAGTCGATATTTAATTTTCAAAATAAATGATTAATATTATGTATATAATATAATGTATACTATTTAATTATTTAGATTGTCAGATATTTAATATCAAAAGGTGCTGATGTTGATATTGCTGATAATAGAGGAGCAACACCATTACATAGATGTGCATCAAAAGGAAACATGTCAGTGCTAAAACTTTTATTGGACTGTGATGTACATGTAGATGCTAAAGATATTTATGGAAACACACCACTGTAAAGAAATAAAAAAATATTGATTAATCAATAAAATTAAGTTTTATTTTAAATGGTTTATTTTTTTTTTCTAGCCATTTAGCTTGCGAAGAAGGACGTGTACAAGAAGCTGGATTATTGATTAAAAGTGGAGCTGATAGCACTCTCATGAATAAAGAAAAATTAACACCTTTTGATTTAGCACCATCTGATGTTCAAGGCATTTTGAGAAAAATCTAAAATATTAAAATTGTCTTGGATAGGTGAGGTTCATATTATATTGTAAAATTATAGAAAGTGGACTGAATAATCTTAAGACATCCTTCTTCCGTTAATGGTAAAAGAGTCTAAGGAAAATAACTTAAGTAAATTATATTATAATTGTTCTGTTCAATTATTTTTTATTTGCAATTTCTTTTAGTGTAATCTTAAAAAAATTGATCTAATATCAAAAATTATTTCATTTGATATATTGTTTTAGTAACTTTTTAAATATTAATTTTTTAAAAAGGTACAGTGATTCAGTTTTTGATTATTTGATTGCAATGCCAACTTTTTCATAAAATTAACTAAAAATATCTACTTTTAAGTAGAGATGTGTGTTCAATTAATTTAATCAACTGTTTATTATTTTAAGTTTAGTTAGTTTATTAATATATTGATTTGCCACGGAGGTCCTTACTCCTTATGGGTGTAAGTGATTTGGAACATATGTCTATAACAAACGACTATATTAGATATCATCACAAGGATGTCAGTCCTCTATTATGTATTTAAATTGTTATTCCAGGTCTCACAAATATTGTTTATCTTGTGTTGACCATTACTTTGTGTACGTTCCATATCACACGGCAAGGATTACTAATAAAATTATTTAATTCAATGAAGTTAATTATTTTGTTCTTTTATCATAATAGGTTTGTAATTTGTGAAGTTAAATACAAATAAAACACTTATAACTGTCTTAAAACCCCATGAAATACCTATTAACTATCATACCAATATATTACCTATGTCAAAATAATTTTTATTTGTATATGATTATTTGAAATTTAAAATTATTCAATTTGTGTTTATGTTCTCCTTATGCGTACTTCAAAATTAGTAGTATATACATACATTTGTTGAGACATAAAATAAAACAGAAAAAGTCTAGTTTTATGCAATTGTAAAGTGTTAACAATTGAAAACTATTGTTTGTTACGAGTATACAATATCAGTCACCCACTCCACATTTATTGTAAGTAATATTAATATATTAATATACCTTGTAATTATTCTGAAATATTTTTGTTGTAAATATTTAAATAATTGATTAGTATTGTGATGGTATTATATTATATTTTATTTAATTAAACTATTATGATATTCTTATATTATTTTAATAAATGGAATTGTTGCTACCTAAAACTGTATGCAATTTCAATTATTGGATGAGAAAAGGCTAGAATAAAATAATATCAAACTTTTACACTTTAAAGCCACAATCCAGCTACAATCAACCAGAGGTTTTTGGAGACATTGAGACAACATCTACCCACTTAGAATACGGACAATTTATGTAAATAATATATTTCATCAAATATTTATTTACAAATTTGAATGTCATATTTATACGTTATATAATATATGTTTCAATAATCCTCATGAATAATCTTTTCAAATTACAAATAAATAACTAACTTTATTTCAATAGGTATCTAATTTAAATTTAAAATGTGTTTAAAAAATGGTTTTTTATTTTATGGTTGCAATTATAATAACTACTTATGAAAAGTCATTGTTTTAAATTGTCAATTTTTATCTGTAAAATCTGAATATTTTAAACTTTTTTAACTACAAAATAATTTTGCGATTTTGATTTATTTTATTAAAATTTTAACTTAAAATAATTATAAAAAGTAATTGTGCCTATGTACCGTTGATTTTTGAACTGTTATTATAAAAGCTTATAAGGAACCTTGTACACAATTTTCAAGCTGTTTGAAAAATCAAAAGTTTCATGAAGTATAGAAAATGATAATTTAAATAACAGTGGTGTGTTCTTTCTATTGTTGATATAAATTGAATTATATAAAAATAAAATAAAATCTTTGATGAGTATAATCCTGTTTTACGATTGAAGTTGGTCAACAAACTAAATTCGGACACAAAAAATATTTGTGGGATTACTCAACTTTTTTTAAAATTCTTGGTAGCAATACTTGTATGGAACCTATAGTATTAAAATGTTTGGCTTTTATCGGAAAATGTCTATTTAGCAGGTCAAAATATTTTTAGATTGTGCCATATTATATGGAAAAAATCACAAGTAATTCAAGTAGGTTCTTAGTATTATTAGTTTTTGAAATATTTGAATAACATCAAAATAAGAAAATTGTTGTGTGAGAACTTGTTAATTTACGGGTGAATATATCTAATGTCTAACTTCAAACTTTCATAAAAAATGTAATATATTTTTCGGTCAATGTTTCTTTTTTTAATGTAGGAAAACTTCAAGGGAATCTCATAATTTTTTTCGACAACAATTTAAAAAACTAACAGAACTCGGCATTTTCTTATACCTATTAATAACTCAAAAAGAGTCGCAATATTTCGAAAATTGTATGGTAACATGGTAAAGAATATTGCTTATACAAACATTCAATGAAAATTTCATGAATCTACAATTATTTTAGAGTTACATCAAAAAACAAAATCGATGTGATCTAAGCATTTATGATTTATGAATCATAATTTATTATCATTATGTTTGCCTGTTGTAATAATCTCTATATAGGTGGGTTAGTGGATTCATTATTATTACATATTTCTAACTGCCCCTTGAATAGGTGTTACTGTATTAGCCATCAGGAATACTCAAGTATTAGTAGTATTACCTATGTCTCATAGAATAGAACCACAGACAAACTATTACACTATGTAAAGCACTGTAGCGAGAGAACACTGAGCGGGCCGACCAAAATCAATTCTTCTGCGCATTCCCACTCGACACTACCCCACAGCTGAACCGGTTCAGCAGTGGGGTGACGCGGGGAATGCGCAGAATGCTGGTATCCATGCGTTCCCTCGCTGAACGGAGTGTGATTTTTATCTCTTTGAATGCCTAGATAATCTGATACCCAAATTTTATTGGACGAGTGACTGGTGTCTGTTGCAAATTGTAAATTGCAATAAGAATTAAAAATTGAATATTAAAATTATATTTTGAAAATGAATAATGTCAAAGAAATTGAACAGGTGAAATCTATTGTGTTGGAAGGTTATGGCGGGTACGATAAAATAAAAGTTAGTATAATTTACCAATACCAACAGTTTGGATAGTTTATTACTTATTACACGTAAAATAATGTATTAAAATGTATAGGTACAAACCTATTACCTATATTCCATATAAAAACTATAAAATGATTGGTAGGTATCTAACTGTTAAACTGTCTACACAGCATCTAATATTAATTATCTATATAGTATAATTTATTTGGTATATATTATCTACATAGGAATTAGAATTAAGTACCTATCTATAATAATATTTTGGTTTATTTAGTCATGATTTTGGTTCAAGTTGATATTTAAAAACTCGTACACTAATCTAAAATAATATTTTATTAATACAATTATGAAATTTATATGATACGTTATTTATACATTTTAATTGTAATTTATTTTAGATAAAATGTTGGCCACTTGAATTTTTAGGACCTACAAGTGTGTGTGTTAAAGTTCAATTATGCGGTGTCAACTTTAGTGATATATATACTAGGCAGGGTTTTCTACGCCAGTTAAAAACCCCCCGTGTGCTCGGAGCAGAATGTTATGGCACAATAGAAACTATTGGAAGTGAAGTGAACAATTTTCAAGTAATGAAAAATGATTAAGTTATTCATTGCTATGTGTTGTTTTTTTTATAATAATTATTGATTTGAAGTAGAGTCATTGGACTCCCCCTACAAACATGTCATCCAGTCTAATAAATATAAATATCTGTATTTTTACTCTATTGTATATAGTTTCGTATATATTCATATAGACAGTAAATATAGATATTTTAACATTAAAATGAATGGATGATAATAATAATTATTGTCGTTTAAACAATATGTTTAGCTTAAATCAATTCAAAACATACATTGAATAATAATATCCTGCAACTTTATTTTAATGCATTAATTCTTATTAACCTTTTATACAGTATGGAGACCGGGTAGTATGTTATGTTTGGACAGGAGGACTGTTTAGAGAAAAGGTTATAGTGCCAGCAAGTAACTGTTTTTTAGTTCCGGAGAATATTAGTGATCAAGACGCTGTTGCTCTACCAGCCAATTATTTAACTGCGTACTTGAGTATTTTTACCATGGGCAATATACAACCCGGAGATACTGTTCTCATACATTCTATCGCGGGTACTATGCAATAGATTTAAAAAAAGAAATGTCAATATTTATAATATGTATTAAAATAGTACTGAATTAAATTAAATTTAAATGAAATTTAAACTGATTTTTATTTTATAGGAGGTGTTGGGTGTGCTGCTACTCAATTGGCAAAAACTGTGAAGGATACAGTTGTTGTTGGAACCGCTTCCGCATCCAAACATGAACAATTAAAAGAAAATGGAGTTTCCCACGTATTAAATCATGAAAACTATGAGACACTGGCTAAAAATGTATCACCACAGGGTTATGATTTAATCATAGATAGTATTGGTGGACCAAATATTGAGATCAGTCAAACATTGCTTAAGCCTTGTGGTCGTTTAGTCATAATTGGTAGGTTACTTTAATAATATGAGTAGTTTGCTGTGGCTTTGCTATGTAAGAGCTTAGAATATATTGTGTGTAGTAAGTTTCCATCACAGTAGAAAATTGTGATCATAATGATACTACTGGTCACTAATATTTATCAATCTACTTATTGTATACTGTATGGAATATAAACTTATAAATATGTTTACCTAATAAAGACTAATAGGTTATTACTTATTTGTATTACATATATTGGATAAATACTTTTTTGTTTGTTTTTAGGTGGTAGTTGTTATATTAATGGTCAAACATTAAAGATTTTAAGATCACTATCCATGAAGTGGCAAACCAAAAATTTGGTCCCCCAAACAATGATAGAACAAAATACCACCGTCTGTGGTCTTCATTTGGGTATGCTATTTGATTCTAACCCAAAGAAAATTCATTATATCATGGAAGAATTATTCAAAATGTTGAAGAATAAACTAATAAAACCGACTATTCATGAGGTTTTACCGTTTGAAAATGTTAGTAAGAAAAATACCTACAAACTTATTCATTAATCATTACCTATTCATTACATATCAGACTTATAATTAAGGGTAGAATGTTTGTGATGGCTTAACCTTCATGGTACCAGCTACCCTGACACTTCTGTGCACGCATGATTGTATGATAGTAGTTTTTGAAATAGTTTTTTTTTTTTATTTAAAAAAGAATATTTACAATTTATGCTACTAGGCATAATAAGCAAATTTGAACACATACTTTGAGATAGAACCCATCGGCCTGTTCACATAATTATACTCTTATAATACCAAATATCATGTTTTGCTATCAACTTGGGAATATTGTAGATATTTAAAATTGTAAATTGTACATCTTAAAATACTCTTAATTACGCACTTGTACGATGGAGACAACTGGGTATAACGTCTTCTTAATTATTAGTTATTATTAAAAATGTGTTGTATATTTTGATTGTTTTAAGAGCATAAGAATAAATAAATATTTTTGGGGTTTATCAGCAGGCTCATTCTTAGAGTTTTCACAAACATTCTTACCTACCAGTCTACTTACAATACTTCACTAGTAAAATATTGTACTAAGATTAACCATGAATTAAACTAAAAATAAAATTGTATTTTATAATCATACATAATAGTTCTGTAATTTATGTTTATAGTTTAAAACATGTATATAATTATATCATTAATTGGCTTAAGGTAATTGGAGCTCAAACAATATTGGCAGAAAGAATGAATTTTGGGAAAGTTTTATTGAAGTTAAATCAATAATAAAAAAAAAGGTTTACAAGTTTGTTTGGTGCTGCTTCATCAATGGGTGTCTTTTCTACTCAATGTTTGTCCACTTATATTTTGTATTTTATGTTTTTTTCTCATCATATAATTATTAATTTTCTTTAAAAATGTATTTATTGTGGGAAGTCTTTTGGTGATCTAACTATGTAAGTAAATAATCCATATTGCAATTTGAAAATTAGACTATATTTAAAAATAAAAACTATTACATTTTAAATTAATTAATAGATTTTGTACTTTTATTTGGGTTAATTTATTTAAACAAATTATACCTGTCTTTAAAATGTGAAACATAAAATACACTAAATCATATTTTATATAATTATAATTAACTTACTTTTGTACATGATAGATAATATTTTAATGTTTGTATGCAAATGCAAGTTACCCTTTTTATATATATTTTGAATGCAAGTATTCCCTATACAATAAGTTATATTGCAGTACACTAGTACCTAATGTCATAATACACATGTCTCATAGTACCCATGCCTACATGTAATTTCCCTTTATTTAGTTGTTAAAAAATTGTTCTTTATTTTTTTATATGCTATGTGAATATTAGGTGATAATTTGTTTCAATTAAAAATTATATTTAAAAGTGATTATAAAATATTAATATAGTCTTCCTAACTTATATTGAGTTTATTAAGAAAATTTAAAATGTACTCCTAATGTGTGCATATCAATTTTATATTTATATTTTGTACATTCATATTACCTACCTATGCATAATAATATATTTTTGTTGTTATTAAAATATATATTATATTTATTTCTTGCAATGTCTTTTAATAAAAATATGATTTGTTGATAGTACTTCTTCACTTTTTAGTTACTGTTGTATAGTGACATCTGCCCTTGTAACATCAGTACAATGTTGGGCCAGCTATCGAGAGAAGTAACAAAATTATAATTTTTTTTAATTTTGGGAAAATCTATGTTTATAAATGCGAAACTCACCCATTGACTAAATATGCCAGTTCGATAACTACTTGACCTACAAAGTTGGAATTTGGCAAGTTGGTTTTTTATAGGTAGGTGTCGACTAAGAACTGTTTTTTGTATGGAAATTCAGCCCTTATATAATACAATGTGTAAGCAATAGAAAACCATTATCACGATACCTAATAATTAGTATCTAAAGTTTTTAGTTCAATAGACGCTGGTACTATGGAAATTATTCGAAAAAAAAACGATTAGCCAATCTTTATGCTTCAGACACATTAATTTACGTAAGATGGGAATTGTATCGAAATAAAAATGTAAGTGTAAATTATCTTGCCAGCGAATTAGTTGCATAGTTCAGTATATGGGCTGGTAAAAATGTTTGCCCTCGCTCCTATTAAAACTGAAATGTTGCCACGCAACTGATTGCAAACAATAAATGTTTATTAATTTTGACACAAATTATGCACCTAAGGTGGGTCAAAGGATTAAAAACGTAGGTTATATTTATTAGGCACCTATATTAAATGAGAATTGTCTATGTTGGTAGGTACCTACTATCTATATAAATTGTGTGCCACTTACGATTTACCACATAACAATATAGCAACGAGTGGCTGTTGTCTGTTATGATATTATGTGTACCACCGTAAGTACCTACCTCTAATTATGTAAATTATACACATGTTGATCGCTATACCGCATAATGCCTAGTGTCTATCTACCGGCTACCTGGCTACCTACATATTATATGCTTAACAATTATTATTTAATGTTTCTTTTTTTTTAATTCATGAATTCGTGTTAGTGTTCATATACCTATTTCATATTATTATGAACTCAATACCAAGAAATTCTATACGTAAGAGTTACGTGGATCGGGGGGGGGGGGGGATTGTCTAACTGCACTCCTTACGTTCTTGCCTAAACCAAAATGTTCGAAATGTTAAAAAATGTAATGTTGGAATATACACTCGGGTTCAAAACAGTTAACTTAAGTTCGAATTGAACTACCTATAGGTATCCGATCATTCCTAAGAACTCGTTTTTATAGTTTTTATTTTAGTTGTCAATTATAGGTACCTTTCGGTATGTGTCAATCAATTTTATTAATAATGACGTTATTAGTTATTAGGTACTCAAGTTACATTTTTTTTTGTTTTTTCGGCTTTTATAAAGAGACGTTGTTTTTTTCATGAATGGTGTTGTTGGATTTTGCAGTTCTTGCTATATTATTTAAATTATAATCCCATCCCTTTTATTTCGTGTATAGTTTCCCTGGCTAGATTTTAAATACTGTGTCCTGAGCTACGAAAAAAAGCTCAAATTGCCATTCTCAATCCACTGTAGATTGTAGTTGACACTATTCAATAGCCACTTTACTACGGATTTAATTGCTGTTCTGTAAAGTGTTGTATCGTAATTAAGTTTGGATAGGATTAATGATTTATACATTTTTATTAATGTATTTGTTTCTCCTCTCCGACATTGGTGTAAGATAATATTTTTTTTGTAATTGTATCAAGTAATCTACTATAATGGACGTTTATAAACGTTATCCTATGTATTGAGACCACGATCACTGTTTATCGAAAATGAAGTCGAGAATTTTTGTTGATAAATAGTATTTCTTGGGGAGAAATCCAAAAGGTTATTTTTGGGTAAAAACAAGCGCACCGAACAGAATGATACTACCTATTGGCCTACTGCATGTGTCTCATGCCCCATTTAATCAATAAATTATCATTATACAAAGATCTACAAGTTATGACCTTGCCAAAATTTATATCAAACGTTTTCAATCCAAATTAATTTCCATAATATCATTACTAACACTTTGAAAAATTAAATATGTCCTCCCTTTCTATTTTCTATATCAGTCTCGCCGGCTAAAAATCGACTGGAATTGCTATTTATTAAACTTTAACCTATATTATACAATTTAGATAATTAGGAAGTATTACGATAACACATCGGTAATTTCCTCTTAACACCACTCACGACTATTTCATTTTAGGTACCTATATACCTGCCTATTTAATATCATTACAATTGCGAATTATATAGATTGTTTTATTTTATATTTTAATAAAAAAGGCTTAGGTGTACATACATTCATAATATTATAGAAGGTATAGGTTAGGTATGGTTTAACCTAAATACATTCTTTGGTAATTCTTATTTCTTATAGGTAGTTATTAGTAATTATTAATATTTAGATTATTATTGCTTTTATTTTAAACTTTTTATCTTATCTCATTGTTTGTTACTTGTTTCATACTTAATTTAAAGGTACTTACCTTTAAGTGCACTCGTATTCGATTAAATTATTAAAATATATATAAGCTAAAATGTATGTAATTTGTGAACTTAGTTTAAAATTCAAATAGGTAAGCCGATATTTTTAGGTTCTCAATTATTATCTTATTGAAGATGCACATTTTGATTTTAAAAGGATACGGTTTTTTCTTATTCATGTATTTTTTTATAATTTATCTTTTTCGTCTCATATGTATAATTTGAATTGGTTAAGGACTCCAAGAAAATAAGCACCTACTTGTTATTTGAGTTTAAACTGTAAAAAATATTGTTTGATTGGCATAGAAATATTTTGAAGATACAAAACTTGAGTCAGAATCAGTTATAGTAGGTACCCATATTAGTAAATAGCGCGTATACTAACTATATTCAAAATAGTTCCTAACGTCCTACATAATATTATTACCTACTATCAATTATGATTTATTATAACTTAAGATATCTGTTTAGATTTAATTTATTGACTACAATATGGAGTCTAGACCCTTCTTATTTCTTCATTTTCGAATCACAAAGGACTTTCCTTGTAGGTATAAAGATTTTTATTAATTCTTCCTTGAAAACTCCTTTTTATCACAATATAATATTGACATTCATTTTAACAGCAAGTGAAGCCCAACAACAACCTGATCTCCTATCAGATATCAAAATTATCAACTTCCTAAAGGAAATCAATTTATATAACTTAATTTAAAACTAAATTAAAATGTATATTAAGAACTTATGACTCGATGGCCACTCAAAAAAAAATACATCATTTTAACAGCATATTTCATCCTTATAATTTTTAAAATTTCACTCCTGCGAGAGTGTGTTATTATTTTATTTAAAAAAAAACAGTGTTACATGTATATTGTAATATAATAATGTATTCGGCGTAGGTACATGTGATATCCTTCTAGGTCGTTCCTGAATATCTCAGCCAATCATACTATATAATTAGACTGTACCTACTTGAAATATTTCTTTACGCATATGAAATATTATCTATAGATATGACTTCATATCGCTCATTATGCCTCTATGTGGAAGACATCAAATTCTCGTTGTACCTATGCTTACTCATTAGTAATTTCCTGGTAATTTTCTTCTTGTTTGGTGTACATAATAATATCATAATATGTTTTAAATATAAATAATATGATGACCTCATCATAGTCTAATATGTAGTGACCACATTCGATATCGATCATATTATTATGTTTGAGCTCTATATAACCTCGCTTTCTAAACCTACAATTTAATTGAATTTTGAAATTTATCAAATGTATGGGTTATTTTTCAGAATTCTAATGAAATTGATCTTCGTCGTCGGCGCTCGCCAATTAACAATTCAAAATACAGAATTATTATAATGCTATTGCCTATAGGCTATAGGTACCTATATAATATTATATGGTTTAAAATGTACATGACAACTATTATTGCTGTTTTTAATGGTTTTGTAATTATAATTAAATACCTATGTAGAAAAAAAAGTTTCTTTCAAGAACGATTTAAAATAAAAATAATAACAATTATACTAAAGTATACACAACCATATTTACAATAATAATTGTACACAAATAACTTTAAAAACGTTTACATTTTGAGTAATATGTTTTGTTATTGTTCGAATAAGTTACGATGTTAAATTCGATCGTTTATGCGTAGTGTTTATCAGATGGCCTATCTCATAGTTCGTAAACAAAATTATGTTGTTCGAATAATTGTAAGTGACGTAGGTATCCCTCAAGGCTCATAATATTATGGTTATACATCACACTTAAACCGGCCTTTAAAATGTCCTATTTTTCTTCTACCAATACCCACCCACCTATATTTAAAGTGTTCCCTGAGCAACACTTGGACCCTATGTTATACGCCCTCGGAATGTTTATACTTATTAACTATTACCTAATTCTTATTATTTTAATAAGTAAGTAAACAATTATATTGAATTCTGTTCCGCCAT